CTAAAGAGAACAAAACTTGACAAGCATTTTTTTAAGAAAAATGGAGACCTAATTGCTCCTGCTTCCACCTTTCTCAAGCCTCTTTTGCAAGACGATGAATTATGCTGGTACATCCCAGGTAACACATAGTAAAAGAGCAATCACACAGTGATTAGCAGCAGGCAAGAGACATTTGTCTCAAACAATCCCTCAAACTACTTCACCCTTCTACACATAGTCATTTTCTAAACTAACATAAAGCAAATCTTAAGCTTCACAAATAAGCAGTTAAAAACACTTACAAGTAATAAGCTCTTAGAACAGCAAAGCAAGGCCCATGTTTGATTAATATTTTTTTAAAAGAGCATTTTTCTGACTTGAAATACCTGAGGGAGCTTTACAAGGGGAGGGGCTGGGAAGAAAAAGCAACTCTCTCACTTGTAGCATCCTACCCGCCTCTCTCCTTCCACAGGCTCGGCTACAGCAGCACGCACAGGCGTGTGACACTCGTGCAGGGAGGCTGCTCCTGCTCCTCGGGGGTCTTGCTGGGGAGCACCCAGCCAGAAACAAGACGAGGTGGCAGGAACAGGGCCAGAGCAGCAGTACCCTGCACTTCAGCAGCTCAAAAGTCAACCACAAGCAGCATCGAAACACCCAGTCCCACAGCAATGCTCAATTCCCAGCTGTGATTTTCCTGGCTGCTGGATTCAGCTGGGACACAAAGTCAACTGTGTCAGGGGACGCAGTTACAGAACAGGCATCCTCTTACCACAATTAATACCTTTTCATCTCTCAGTATCAATAAAATAAAGATTTGCTTTTATACATCCCAGCCTCCAAAGGTCCTAACCCCACCACAGCGCCAGTTTGCTGCTCTACACAACACCCAGTCCTGGGGAGGTTACTTGTCATCTCTGCTCCAGCTTAAGAGAAAGACTAACACTGGTCTAGCTACTGTGCCACTTCCAGGAACAAGAGGAGGTACGCACCACCTGGGAGACAGAGCTGTCAGCTCTAGCAGGGCCGTGGCTGCTTCCTCCTGCCTAATTTAGGGATCCAGGAGGGTGCTCAGGGAAGAGCTCTTAGCAGCAGACAACTCCAATCAAGATCGTTAGCACAGGCAAGGAGCCACCCCTCATCCACATCCCGCTTTAGCATGTACATATCAGACCTATCAGAAGGATGAGATGTTTGCAGAGTGCTCTGAACACAGGTTGCCAAATGTTGCCCAAGCCAAAGCGGGTACACAGCACCCTCCCACTGGAACCTGGCCTGCTGGAAAGAGATGAAGACACCTCATAGAGCATGAAACCCCCCCATCAGGCATTCTGGTTATTCGGTCCCTTCCCACTGCAAGCTGAAACATTTAGAGAGCAACCTTTTGGTAAGGGGCTCTCCAGCACACTTTGGTTTGCAATGTAGCTGCAATTTGCAGTTCAGTTATTGCATTAAAATGTGGTGCAGCCCTGGCAGAAAGAAAAGTATGTCACTTCTCACAGTTCCTCCCATTATCTTTTAGAGGAGACGGAGCTTAGGCTAACATTCATAGAGGGGAGCATGAAGCTTGGCAGAAAGCAAACAGCAGCGTGGCCATAAATGCACCATCCTGCTCTCACCCCAGCAAGGCTGCTTCTCCCCATCCAAGCCCTGCTTCCCAAAACCCTCAGCAAGAGACAGCTTATTTAGGGGATGTTTCTCTGCTTACGGACCAACAGCCTGAGTGAACAGAGGGAAAACATAAACTCGAGGCGGCTGCCAGAATTGTGCTGGAGGCTGGAAGCAAAAAGTCATTCACCTGCCACTGCCTGAGCCAGAGCCAAGAGAAGCCCTCGCACCACGCTGCTGTTCCTGCAGGGTTTATTAGGATTGAATAAAACTACGTAAAAATCAGCTTTTCAAAGGGTGCAGATAAGAGAGATGTTTTGACTGTGCCTGTATCCCCAGTACAATCCCCAAAGCAGACTCTCACCTTCCTATGGACCTCTGTTAGAGCTGCAGCCGTTCTCTGCTAATTGATTCAATATGCATTTGGACTAGGATTTTTAATTAATTTTATTACAGAAAAATTAATGCACTGCTTCCCCACAGATGCATTAGGATACCAACATGAGCAGTAGGAAACCATCCTGCAGCAGTTTTCCTTGCGACTGCTTGTGGGGAGCTAACCTTACACCTGTGGTGGGATTTCCCTGATGCAGCCCCTCCCTGGGAGCCCCCCCTCTAGTCTTAAGGGCTCACATTCAGCTCACACCACATTTCAACTGAATTTAGAAACGTATAGGCTACAAAGCAGCAAGACAACATCGCTCCTCTGCCTCCCTGGGCCGTGCTAATAGACTGCTGGGCTCGCCTTCAGCAGAGGCAGGCTCTGGCCTGCACAGAGCAGCTTACCACTCCCGTTCATCCCATTGCCCCCCAGTTGGTTTAATTTCAGAGGGATGTGGTGTATTTTGGTAGTGACTGTGTTCTCGAGACTACATGTAGTCCTGCGTGCAAATCAAACAGTACCAACCATGGGAAATGATTTGCAGGACGTGGGTCAGCACCCTGCCTGCCGCTGCCCACCATCAGCACCAGAAGACACGTTCCCTTGAGCAAAAGATCTCACCCCTCTGCCACTGTTTTAGGCATCCAGACGGACCACCCCACTCCGCTGAGCCATCCTCTGCTTCCCCAGCACAGCAAGCAGGCAGCTGCAGTACTGGCACTGTCCCTTTTTTTTAACTGAGCCCCTTGTCCTCAGAGCCTGCCTCAGCCTGACTTCATCAGGCACAGAGGGCACCCAACAAACCACATTTTAGGAACACAAGCAGTCTCACAGTCAGCTCTGACAAATTTGTGGAAGAGTCTCTCTTCATCCCCCACCTCCCTTTCCCCACACCTACTTTATCATTATCCTTCTCTACAGATAATGCAGTTAATAAAATCCGTATTTACTCTGCTTGGCTTGGGACTACAGTTGAACTAGAAGTTTTAGCTGTACAGGAGCCCAAAGCAGAAATGCCTCCTCTGAAACACCAACAAGAATTTAAGAGAGAAAGAGCGTTTGGAGAGTGTTCTATCAAAAAATGGAGCTGAGTGAAATTAAGCAGTTCCCGGTATTTGAGATGACATCTCAGAACACAAAAAACAGTGGTGGTGCAGGGGTAATCATCTGTTATTTATATACATTCACACTATGGTATTTATCAATGGCAAGAGTATTGGGGGAAAAATCATCACTACATGTGCAATATCCAAACCCGAGTCCCCAGAGTCCTGCGCTAGCACTGTATTGAACAGCATCCCCGAGGCATGCCATATTTTAGAAACTCGCAGAGCAGGAATAGGTAGTGCACCATAAGGTCCAAGACCTTAATCAAGCCCTGGTACTCGATAGATTTCCAATATAACGAAGACAAAGAGGTGTCAGCTCTAGTTCTTATTTGCTAATACTATCAATAGGGGCTCAGCTCACTAGCAGTTAATTCAAAGCCAAGCTCGATTTGCGCAGCAGTGATCTACACTAATTCCCATATGTGGCTAAGGGGAGATTTTGCCAACTAGACAATAGAAACAGTATTACAGGTCCTGAAATGATGCCATTGCTTTTCTCTTCTGCTCCACCACTTCCCCGACAAATTTCCACATGCAGACATCTCCAGTTGCCTTCTCCCTTGCATTAGAAGACGTGGAGAAAGGGTGACAAATACAAAGGTACCCATTTCTTCTCCAGATGCGTTTTAAAAGCCTGAATAAAGCTGTCACTTCCCACAAAATGAGGGCAAATTTCACACTTGGTTTTTCTGTGCATTAAAGACACTAAGAATCACCATAATTAAGCAATTATAGAAGTATTTTTAAGTGATCCAACTGTAACTTAGCCGCCTTAAGAAAAAAGTTGCCACATGTTGCTGTTTCGTGAAGGTTTATTAGCTTGCTTCATCTGTTACCAAGGTTTGCTTGGTTTTGCTTTCAGGTTCTAGTCCATCTCAACACTAGATTGGACTGCTTTGGCAAGATCCTATGGTTGTTGAAGTTACAGGAAGCCAGATGTGCTACCCAGTTAGGCAACGGAGCAGTTTTAGCCACATTAGAAGTAGTTAGTACCTGTAAGCCTGGCCCTCATTAATCTGCAGTTTGGCTCAAATGAAGCAGCAGCAGCCCATACCCACAGTTTACACTAATGAGTTACCCTGTCCTCTTAAGTCAGCTGCACACAGCAGCCTGCAACTTTGACCTGCTATTAGCGCAAATATCCTCACACCCCCACCTCCTCGCTGCCAGGCAAACACCGACTGCTAACTACAGCCAGCACAAGGAAGGAATTCAAGCACAGCGATGGGGTGCTACAGTTTTCCCAGTTTGTGCAGTTTTTATGCTAGGGAGGAAGCAGCTTAGAGTCACCAGCTAGAGGCCAGGTATTACCTTTCCCTTCCATGGGCTGCAAAATATCCCCTGCTTGCATTTGGAAAGACAGAAAGACTGCAACACAGCCAGCTGGTCACCAAAGGGGAAAGATACCTGCGTCGCTCCACCAACCCACCTCACAGCACCCAGTTCCTATTAAAACTTGCATCAGAGAAAGGACACAGACTAAGTACCTGTGCCACACTCCTACTTCAGTAGGGAGTTAAGACTAGGCGCCTGGCTCCTGCCACGAATCAAGATGCTAGAAAAAACCACAAGTCTGAAACAGTTTAACACAGGACAAAAAAGGCACATTTTAATATGTACAGCAATGCATTTGGGCTATAAATTTACCCAACACAACTGAAAAAAAAATCCAAACTATGCTTTTATACTTATTCCATGGTGTCAGCCTCATTCCTAGCCACCTACCTTTCTCTGCATCTCTGAATGCTGCTATATACACACACAAACAAACAATTACGTCATGAATGTTCATTTAGGCTCCCAAGTTCAAGTAATAAAGTTCAAACTTGCATAGCATCTTATGCCACTCAGCCATAAACAGTTACGATTGCATATTAGCTGGAGCAGCCATCTCTTTCAATTCAGCCAGTTTTGGCTGGCCACCATATTTTTATTTTTATTTTTTTTTAAATCCTTGAGTCAGAATGTTTCCTAAGTCACCAGCCCTGAGGGATGCCACAGACTTCAAGATGAACCTCTTGCTGTTGTTAAGATCCTTTTAAACCAGAAATTTAGAGTGTTGTCAAGAACAGTTTTAAAAATGTAATACTGTTTATTTTGCTTCAAAAACATTTCAGCATTCTAAACATACAAAAAAAACAGAACGTTGCAAATTCGTTTAAGTACAGAGTGTTTTTGAACTTCAGTTGCTGCACTGGCTCTTCACTTAGTTGACGATGAAGAGATGTCTACAGTTTCAGTTTAAAAACTACCGCACTTAACTAAAAAAATCCATACACTTCTCATGCCAGCTGAACCCCCTTCCACAACTAAGAATGGCAGCAGAATGCTATTTCACTATATACAGAAAGACAACTTTAAGCTAAATGGACGCCCACTGTAGTGTAAATAGATCTACCCTCACAGTGCATGCTTTGGGCCATGGCACCCCGGGGAACGTACAGCCTTTCCAAGTAATCACTGCTCCTCTAAGGCATCATAACTCTAAGCATGTACCACAAGAATCTGTCTAGTTTTTACAAACTATAGATATGTACAGTTTATAACCCAGGATTTTCTAGCCAATAACCATATAGTAACACCACCTTACAAATTAAAAAAATGCTTGAAACATTTTTAAATGCTTTGTTACACCAACAGCAAAGTGCACAGAGTTAGGAGAACACTAGAGCGCCTTTTCATTTTAAAAATGTTTGGAAATATGTACAACTTTGATACAGTTTCAGGGTGCTCACTACACCCATGGCCACTTCATGTAAACCAGTTACAATTTCTAGAGCACTTTTAGAAACTACAACGCGATCGGAATCCAAATTTTTTTTTTTTTTAATTAAGCCTAATAAGGGCAAGAGACACCATCTCAAATAAGAGGTGCTTCATTTATGGTGTTTCCCCTACTCTATGGTATTCACATGGAGACAAGTATTGTACAGTTTTATTCATCATCATCATCTTCATCCTCCTCTTCTTCATCCTCCTCCTCCTCTTCATCTTCTTCCTCTACCTTTTTCCGAGCAGCTTTGGTTGCTGCTCCCTTTGCGCCATCAAACTTTCCTTTAGACTTGTAGTCTGCAACATCCTGCAAAGTCAAGGGGATGTCTTAATTTGCTCTAAGCAGCAAACACATACAGCATTTGTACAGCAGCAGGCGTTAATGTAAAGGGACCGGCATTCCACAGCTGCACCCCCACAAGAGGAGACAGCCAGCAGTACAGTACACAGGTATGCAGACATCTAAGCGTATTCAACTGCCTCCGGATGATGGAGGGCTTGAACCCTGCATTCACAGTCATTTCTTTGAGGAGGAGAAGACAACCCAGCCTCTCTTAAAAGTTTCCTGCTAATGGGACAAGACTCCTTTAACAGCACAGCAAACCCTTTGCTGGAGCAACATGAGCAGGTGCTGCTGCGCAGCACTGGGGGAAAGCTCTCCCTCCTGACCGGATCCGCCCGTGGCTCTCTAACCTACTCTGTCCCACCGTACGCAAAGCTCGGCTGCGTAGCACAGTGCCGTGAGAACGGGTCTGCAAGCTGGAGATACTCACTACGCTGGGGCCGCCTCCGCTGGGTCTATGTTCCAGAAATACAGCAACACGAGAGCAGGTATGGAAGAGGCACAAGTGAAAACTAGCCTTACCTTCTCGTACTTCTCCTTCAGTTTAGCTGCCTTATTATTGTAAGGCTGCTTTTCACCATCACTGAGGTTGTTCCACATTTCACCCAGTTTCTTTGCTACATCCCCGATGGATATGCCAGGGTTTGTGGACTTGATCTTGGGGCGGAACTCTGAACAGAAGAGGAAGAAGCCAGACCTTGGGGAGAAGCACCAGAGGACAGTCAGCACCACAACAGCATGTCTGGGTCACACCTCCTTTCGCCATCCCTCACCCACAACATTCACACATGCACACACACACTGAGTAGACATGCTTTTTTTTTAACTTCAAAAAACCAAAACAAACCACAAACCCAAACATGTTTTGATTTTACTGAGGCCCAGACCCACAGCTTTAACTCAATACTGTTTTTAGTTGTGTTGTCTATGCCCCCAACACGATTTCATCTTAGGCACACAAGTCTCACTGTCACCAAGTAGCACAGCTTCTGTGAGTGCTCTACATGCTCAAGATTACAAGCTGCCTACAAGATTTACAAGACAGTACCAGTAAGCTATGAATATTACCAATACAGCCATACCAACAGTATACCCTATCTACTTACTTTATGGAAACCTATCGGCTGTGTTACAGTGTGTGAAAACAAACTAAAATACGTATTCATTTAACACCTCAAAGTTACTTACGGTGGCCGTTTTGGGGCATTGGGGTCCTTCTTCTTCTTGCCACCCTTAGCTGGTCCATAGTCCTTCATTTCTCTATCATATCGTACCTTATCAGCCTTTGCCATTTCATCAAATTTAGCCTTCTCCTTGCTCGACATGGTCTAAAAAACCAAAAAACAAGACACCAAACCTGTGATTACCCAACTGTTCAATAGCTGGCAAACTTGTAAGTAAACAAGCCGACACATACTGACTCGACAGGGGAGTTTCAGGATTTGTTTGTTTTCTAACTGGACCACCTTGGGGGCGAAGGTCCTGTACCAGGGACTGCAGCCACAGCTGGCATACTCGGCGAGAGGGCAGCAATGGGAATGGGACAAGCACAGCCAGAGTCCTCCTTGAGGACACGGGCCTGGAAGGAGGTGGCTGCTGAAGGGCACTGCTTGGAAGCAGGAAAAGAGCCCAGGCTGCAGCAGAAGCACCTGAATGGGCAGATACACTGGGCTGAAGCCTTCGCAATCGTGACAGGCATCAGCAGCACCCAGTCAACGGCCTTGCCAAGAACGTCACACAGACCAAACCAGCACCAGCTCCTGTTGTGTTCAGACACACACACATCATCCTAGCAGACAGCATAAGTCATCCCTTCAGGAAGTCATGAACTAAGGTACCTTCCACCTCTCCGAGCATTTCTTGGAAAACTCTGCAAAGTTGACTGGAACCTCTGGGTTCTTTTTCTTATGTTCCTCACGGCACGTCTGCACAAAGAAGGCATAGGCAGACATCTTGCCCTTGGGCTTCTTCGGATCACCTTTAGCCATCTTGACTCTGTAAGGAAGAGGGAAGTAGGGGGGGAAAAAATAACAAGTGAATGTGTGTATGGATGAATGCGTATACTTATGTGTACACACATATATGGTGTGCATATATTCATATAAATACACGCACACACCCCCACCATCCCCTGAAGTGATGTCCCATCAGCAACACATCCCTTCCTTCCCCCCAGCACCTCTTCTCATCCCTCATACAGAGGCTTAATAATTTCATTCCTCCTCAACTCGGGTTGCAGACTTGAGCCAAGCAAAACCAATCACTGGATTTCAGTTCTAGATCCACATATATATTTCTATTACGTCCAAAGACTGGAGACAAGCTATTAAATATACATCCTTCAGCCCATTGCAAGTTATGTATGAGCCACTATAAAATATTTGGTTTAGTTGGCTACCGCACTGGGGTTTGAGTGGCACACGCAGGGCCAGGCTACGGCTTACATCTTTAGTAGCTGGAGCTCACGTTAGGAGCAGCTGTCCAGGTAAAAATACGGGACAGATTATTTTTCCCCCCTAAAAGTGCAATAACCTTTCTAGTATAAGAATGTGTGCAGATAAAGGCTAGTTTTAAACACAATAGGACCCGTGGAGCTCCGCGAGGTGAGCAGTGCTTGCTCTTGCTCCACCAAGTGACACATGTTCGGAGGCATAGTGGTCAGTGCAAAGATGTGATTAGCAAGTCACTGAGAGGATGATGCTAACTTTTGGGCTGTGTTTCTTTCCCCTTCTTCCGTATTATTTTTTTTCCCCCCTCTGGAAAAAAAAAAATCCCGCAGCAATATTTCCTATTTACAGCTTCTCAAGCATTTGAAAATTTAATTTTTATTAGCACAGCGTTAATATTTAATTGTGCCTGTTAACCCCTCCACGCGCAGCAAAAGTGGCTTTCAGCCGCCCTCTCCCGCCCCGGCCGCTCCCGGAGCTCGGCGGGATTCCGCTGCCGGCCGACAGCGCTCCGCGGGCGCGG